TGATTTTGGATAAAATGTAGATTAAATTATTGCACATTTATCGTAAAGTAATCTGACTGACTACTTATGTATTACATTTAGACTACTTTAACTGCACTTTAATGTAATTGACTATTTTTGGATACAATTTAGTTTACATTATTGCACATATATCGTAAAGTAATCTGACTACTTTTGGATTACATTTAGATTGCATTTATCACAGATGTATTGTAATGTTATCTGACTACTATTGCATTACATTGAGATTACATTATTGTGCATTTATGGTAAACTGATCTGACTATTTAGAATATTTAGGTAAACGCAATCCGATTACTTTTGGATTATATTTAGATTACTTTTATTACACATTTATCATGTCATAATCTGGCTACATTTGGATTACATTGTGATTACTTTCACTATATATCTATTGTAATGTAATCTGACAATTTTTGGATTACATTTAGATTACTTTTATTACACATTTATAGTAATTTAATCTGACTGCTTTTGGATTACATTTAGATTACTCTGGTGCTAACCCTTATTTGACAGATTTTGACAGATCAAAATAACAAACTCTTCATTATCAACAAGAGTCTTTTAAAAGTTCAATGATGGACAGTTAATACGAGTTAATAGTCAAGCTGTATGTAGTAATAGGTTTATAAAAAAATCACGTATTATGATTTTAAAACGTTAAAACTTTTAATTAAGGGCATTTTAGAAGCAGCAAAACTACAAAAAGAAAAAAAACGTATTTCCTCTGTGCCTAAAAAATATTCTTAAATATGCGAATTTTTATATATATATATATATATATATATATATATATATATATATATATATATATATATGTATATATATTACAAAAAAGTCAAACAGCAAACAAACTATATGTATACAATAAACATACATGTACATACGAAAAAAATCTAAATAAATAATTAAGGTCGATCTGCAAATGTTTTAATGATCCTAAAACATGTTTTATTGCCAAATCTTTCGATTTTTTTCGATGAAATATGACAGCTTTATTAATTAATATTCCAATGTTTGGCTGTAAAACAAGAGTCTCAGAGATGTAAAACACAGGAGAAGATAAAAGCTACTGTTTCCAGGAGCCAGAGATCCAAAACAGTCGTTGTGTTTGTATATTTATGACCAAACGTCTGTCCAAAAAGTGCAGAAAGTGAAACCTGTGAGAGAATGTTGCGGATTTCTGGCTTTCAGCATTTACTTTTAACAATTTCTGCTGTATTTGAAAGAACACACACACACACACACACATGAATATATATTTCAAAAGACCTTCATGCTGGCAGTCGAGTTAACTGAAATGCTTTCTTATAGAGTTTTCCTATTTCTCCGTTGTATTTTGAGTTGATAATTCTGACCGATATGATGCTCTTGTTTTCTCGTGCAATAAGTGGTTTCTGCATCGTCGCCTCGTGTACATAATAACATCCATTTTTAAATTATTACTTTTTACACACACACTTTATGAGTTGATGAATCTATTTTCTGGTATTTGTACACGTTTGTACCTGTAGGTGGCGGTAAATAGCATTGTTTTTTTTTTTCTTCTTTGCTTTGGAATAAAAACATTCTCTTGTGCCATTCAGTTTTGACTCTGTCTGACTTTTTTTTCCCATCAAGATTTGATTTGATTTCAGGAAATGTTCTACTTAAGATTTTTTTTTTTCGTCAGGTTCGTTTCAGAAAAATGAGATTATTTCATGTTTTTGACTGTCTTATGAAGACAATGTTAATTGTAATTGCAATAAGTTGCAATGTGTTTCATAACATTGCCTTCATTCGTTAACATGAGTAAATTATACGTTGAATCTGATATTTAAAATTGTAAATTTGTAACATTATTTTGTAAATTCTTAAAATTTGATACTTAAAATTTGACATTTTGAAGGTTTAACTAAAATTGTTAAATTTAAAAAAATGTAACAATACTTGATTATTAGATGTAAGAATAATAAAAATTTTATTCTTGGAATTTAAACGGTACTTTCAGATTTGATACTTAAAATTTTATACTTAAATTGTGAAACTTCAAATTTGATGTTTAGGAAGTTAAAAGTTTAAATAATTTGTTAAAATATGAACAATTCTTTGAATTTGATAATGAAAAATTTGTTTGCTACCTAAAACTTGATCCCTAAATTGTGATGCTTGAAGTTGGACATTTATCAATTTTCATATTTTAAATAAATTTATGATTTTTAATTTTTTTTAATTTTAACAATACTTCAAATTTGATACTTATAATACACAATACTTAAAACTTAACAATTGAGACATTTAACTGAAATTTGTTCGAATTTTAACAATAATTTAAATTTGATGCTTTGAAATAAGAATAATACAAACGTAAAACTTAGAATTAAAAAAACAAAACTTCAGTTCTCATACTTCAAATTTGAACAGTATTTACGACTTCACTCTTATGATTAAAATAATACTTTGATTTTAAAATTTAACATTTTATACTAAGCAGCAAATGATGAAACATTGAACATGATAGCTGTTTTAACAATACTTAAAATTCGATACTTAAATTATACATTACATTTTACATTTAAAGTGTTTACCAGATGGCGATGCAGTGGCGCAGTAGGTAGTGCTCTGCTGTCGCCTCACAGCAAGGAGGTCGCTGGTTCGAGCCTCGGCTCAGTTGGCGTTTCTGTGTGGAGTTTGCATGTTCTCCCTGCGTTCGCGTAGGTTTCCTCCGGGTGCTCCAGTTTTCCCACAGTCCAAGCACATGCCTTACAGGTGAATTGGGTAGGCTAAATTGTGCTCGCTGCAGAGCCATTTGGGCGAGCTGAGCTCCAGCGAGGGGGAGCTTAAGCTTGAGCTCCACCTTTTTTGCACTTCTTCTACGAGTGATGTCACTGGGGGTAGGGTTAGGGGTGGGGTTGGTGTACGCATTAAAACAGCTTACAGGAGGAGGAGCGACAGCTCATGCTCCCCCTCGCTGGAGCTCAGCTCTCCTCAAATGACTCTGCAGCGAGCACCACTTAAAATTGTCCGTAGTGTGAGCAGGGCCGGCGCGTCCAGGTGACCTAGGCGGCCGCAACACCCCTTTTACCACCCGCGTCTTCAGTTATATCCGCGCCTAGTGCAGGAGTAATAGAGAGGGCTTCCCCAACACTACCCTCACCACCCGTGCCCTATATCCGCGATTAGGGTGGCAGAATAAAGAGGGCGGCGTCAGCTCCCTCACCAACCTCCCGCTTTCACCTTCTGGTTGAGGGCAGCCAGACCGTCCTTTGCCTAAAGCGGCAGTTCAGCTTGCTCCGAGTGTGTGTGTGTGTGTGGATGTTTCCCAGAGATGGGTTGCGGCTGGAAGGGAATCCGCTGTGTAAAAACGTGCTGGATAAGTTAGCGGTTCATTACGCTGTGGCGACTCCGGATTAAAAAAGGGACTAAGCCGACAAGAAAATGACGGAGGGTTCTATTTTGACGGTCCATGCGCAGAGCGCATAACGGCAGGGCGCAAACGCTTTCGGGGCGTGCCAGGACGCATTTTTGCTAATTTAAGGACGGGAAATCTGCCTTGCGCCAAGGCACATGGTCTAAAAGGGTTGAGTTTATTTTCTTAATGAGTTATAGGTGTGTTTTGAGAATAAACCAATTAGAGTCTCATCTCCCATTCCCTTTAAGAGCCAGCTGCGTCACGCCAAGAGCGCATTGCTATTTACAGGACGCAAAGTAAGTCTAAGTGGAAAAACTGAGCATTTCACAAGCAAACAGTTCACAGAAAACTGTTAAACAGAGCATCTACTGCGTGACAATGAGATATAATGGATCACTTTCACTTTCGCTCTTGGATAGGGAAACCTTTACGCACAGACATAAATTAGTCTATAAATAATTAATTTCGTTTGGTAAGCGCAAATATTCGTTTCAAAACTATTTCTAAATTCAGTTCTAATTTCCAGCAAATGAATAAATGAACAATAATAATGAAGTGTGTTCAAAAACCTGAGTTATATCCTAAAACACATGCTGTGCCCCATATGGTCTAAAACCTGACAGGTGGGCAAATCTAAACTTGTTTTAAATAAAACAAATATAAATATGGATATAATAAATAATACTGCTAATAATAATAACATTATACAAAAGCTAATTGTTATGAATGAACTGAAAAAGCCTCCCGAGATGAAGAAGACATAAAAGCAGTGATTTTTCATATTTATGTAGGCTAGAAAATAATATGTTTTGTAATATTTTTATCCTTTATATTTATTTCCTATATCTATTCTTATTATATCCTATATATATCATTAATATTTACATTTTTTCATATGTAAAGATATTTGCCTATTGCTCTCTTGTGTGTATTAAGCAGTGTGTAAGCGAGGCACAACTCTGCGCTGGAGTTTAGACCGGGTTAGTTTTGGTCTAATGAAAAATCTATTATAGTTTCTCAAAATAGCGACGCGCCAGCGGTCTGCCTCAGAACGCCTCCTTTTTAGACCAGAACGCCTATGTGCGCACATATGAGCGCTAATGCATTTGCTATTTAAACAGTGTAGCGCAACGCCTCAAAACCACTCTTGCGCCAAGCTGAAACTACCAAAAGACTATTGCGCCGCGCCTTGCGCCACACTGCGCCGGGTGTATGATAGGGCCCTGAATTTTACCAGATTAACTAAATTTGTAAGAATTCTTTTCTAAATTTCGAATGTTCAAATTTCAACAATACTAGATACTTCGATCACTCCAGGACTCAAACCAACAACCTTCTTGCTGTGAAGCCACAGTGCTAACCACTGCGCAACCATACACCCCCTCACACCCCCTCCAAAAAAATAACCATCAATACAGTAAAAAAAAAAAGTGGAAAAACAGAATTGGTTTTGCTTTTATTCAGTGCTGCAAAAATAAATATTTCAAACATTTTCAAAGACACTCAAACAAACACAGCAAGAGTCTGAGCACCAGCGTTTAACACACACACACACACACACACACACACACACAAACACAAACACAAACACAAAAGACGCAATATTCAATAAAATGTGTATTTTTTTTTCACATGGGAAAAAGATTTGTGAAAAAAAACCTGTAAACATGATGATAAAAGGCCACAGTTGCTCAAACACAAGTCGGTTTTTGGAATGTTAAAAATACAGATTTTAACCTGGAAGGCTGAAAACAACCAAACATACAGCGGTTCACAGTGAGGTAGAAGCAGCTGAACGTCAGCCATTTCAGCTCTTTTCCTTTCTCCTGCATTTAGAAATATCTTCAACACAAAATAAAACATCTTGAAAACATCTGACATCACAAACTCAACTCATCTTCATTCAGCAGATTCTGTTCAGCTCAACGTTCAGAAACTAATGATCAAACCTGAGAGGCAAACCAACACAAGTGAAGATACAAAGATCTGAACTGTGGATTCCCACACTCAGGATGATGAGAAATAACGTGGAATAAAAAAGAAAAATTAAATGTGCATTAAATTAATTACATCACGTAAAATAAGACCCTGTTTTGTTCCATTTCTTACATTTCAATAATGATCTAACACTACACACACACACACACACTTGTGTTAATAGATCAACTATGCTTTAATTGTCCTGAAAATAAATGTCTAATCCACGGAGAGAGAGAGAAACACACACTGTCGATCTTTTTGACCTGACCACTGTTAAAACAAGCAAACAGACAAA